AAAAAGGAAAACAAAAAAAAAACGAAAAAGAAAAGAACAGACAACCCCCTCGCATCCCCTCCCGCCCTGCTGTCTCGTCCGCCCTTCCTCCCAAAGAGGAAACAGTGGACGCGGACCGCAACGGACACGCACGACCTACCCAGCCTACCGGTCTTAGACTTGCGGGCGACCAGACCCTTCCACGTGAATTTCGAAAGCCCGAAAAGACCCCGCCAGAGCTTCATTGCTGTCGACGACAACGACAAAAAGACAATCGCACTAAGCGCAGCCTTTTGGCTGCGAACTGTTGCCATAGCTTCTTTCTTGTTCTGCTGTGAGGTCGGGAAATTTTGGCGCGATCGTCACATGGGGAAGCCTTTTTTTTTAATTTTTAAACTGATGCCGAGCCCACACGGGTTCTCAGAATTTCTTTTTGCAATTAGGACTTTAATTAGGCTAGGAATTTAGGTGGATGCTGGACCCGGTTTCCAGCAGGGGGTAGACATGCAATGGCATATGAGTGGGCCAGCAGCATTAATAGAAGGTATATCTCAAATAGGGGGTGGGAGGAACCAGGGGGTAGCAGCAGGTATCTGGCACCAGGTGCAGGGTGAAGAGGTCCCCCCCCACACACACACACACAACATCCTGCTCAGTCAATCCCCTGGACCCCAGGGTAATCAATGCTGGCAGGAATATTCCACATCTCTGTTTTTCTGATATGGTTCGAATTCTGCTCATGTAAGGGACGCTGGACCCGTTTTCCTGCAGGTGTCGCTCCCCACCAATAGATGGAGCCCCCCCCAAGGTGCTAGCAGTGTCTGCTCTTATCAGCACCAGTAACACTGACGGGGGCGTGTTAAAAAAAAAAAAAGAAAAAAAAAAAGAAGGAATTTAGGTGCATCATAATTCTGCAGGCAACTGCACGATGCTTCTTGCTTGCGCGCGCTTTGCAGCGCCAGGGTCTGTGCTCTGGCTTCTCCACGCCTTAATCCCATGCATAACTGTAGTTCTCTTCTTGGCAAGCACAAATGTAACTCTAATCTTCTCTTTCTTGATATCTTCATCTAAGGTAGTAGTAGGTGCGAGGAGACGGACTGCCCGCATCGGGGTGGTGTAGAGAGAGAGAGAGAGAGAGAGAGAGAGAAAGAGAGAGAAAGAGAGAGAACGAGAACGAGAACGAGAACGAGAACGAGAACGAGAACGAGAACGATGTCAGCTAGGGAGACATCCACCGTGAGCTAAGGCAGATGACCCTCGTACGACATTGCCAAGCCCATGTTAGCCCGACCCTGCGTGCGTCCAGCGACCAGCCAGCAGGACTCCAAGCATAGTTCAACCCTTGACGACCAGTGTCAGTTCACTTCCCTCTTTTTGCCTGTTCCGCGCACAGAACCAAACTCCAGCCCCAAGCCCGCTAACACCATCTCACTGTTATAGCGAGTATCCTCCCCCAAGCATTCCGGGGGACGTTTTTTTTTCAGATTTCCAGGTCTGGCACAGAAGGCGGAGCCCTCGGCTCGTTAAAGCGTTTGCCTCAGCAGAGGAGATTTCAGAGCGAAGAACCCCCTCCCCCCCACGACGTTGACAATCACCGCATGGCAAAACAAAGGGAAACACCTTCTCGAAGTCGTGCTTCTTAGCAATTTTCAAAGAAGAGTGTTGTTGAGTTATCTAAAAGGATGATCCGACAGAGATGTCGATCTGACTTTTTATCCGATTTCGTTATTTCCAGACTCAGATTTGTGTGGACAAAGAACAGGAGTATCGGTCAGA